GTCAAGTACTGCCTGTGCGGAGCGCTCCATCTCCGTCGACTGTGCGATATTGTAACTACACGGCTTCATTCAGTGACATTAGTAACACACCACTCCGGAAACGATCTGGTTAAAGGGAGACGCTCTTTCAGGCCGATTTAAATACTGAACATGACCTGCTCCAGACCAGGTTAGCTCTACAGCATCAGTTACCATGGAGATGTAGCCAGGTAAAAAGAGAGCCACCTTTGTGACACTGAAAACTCTGGCGTTAAGCTCAACATACCTCAACAACCCCACTCATCTCGCTTCGTAGTACAGCCCTCTGGCCTGCTATCATCACCAACAGTGTCAACAACGGTGTTTTGGCCACTGGTGCCATTGAGAGACGCTTCATTAGATTATAGTTGCTTACAACAGATGTAGACAAACACTTTGACATAATGAACACTTCACATATACGTTCTTGCCTTTGACCTCAAGGAGAAAAAAGTAGTGTCTGCACTTCCACTGTGAAAACGTCAGCTTTCCCTCCAGACTCACTATTGCTGCACCTTACTTTTGCTGGTTTGGGCATGTGGTTTGTGTGTAAACTGAACACTGCCTCTGATTGGCTTTCCAATGAAACGCTTACTCTACCTTAGCCAATCATCATCACTTATGCGGTGGTCTCGCCCCTCCCTCCTCCCTCACCACAGAAAAAGTGAACAGCTTTGCAGCTCCTGTGGCTGAGAGCCAAGTCGGATGACAAGAACTTCAATGAGTAGCTTTAGTTTAGAACGCACCCCATTTAATTGTCGGTAACGGTAACGGCATTGTAACGATGGAAATTATTTTAACGCCGTTATTCCTATCACTGTTTTGCAAATTCAAACCTGTAGAGATCTGCACAAGTTACCAGCTCTGCAAACAGTACTGCAGTTCAATGTGTTCAACATCAGCTAACATCTCAAGAAGAACTACGCTAATGAACACATGAGCAATATTCACCAAGATAGGAATTCATCAAGGGCTGTTGTACTTGATTCCATGCAGGTGTGGTTGATGGGAGGAGTTGATCCAAAAGGTTGTAACAGGACTGATTGTTAGTCATCAAGGAGACCAGATATTTGAAACTGATGTACATTTGCAGACAAAATGAAAACTAGGGACGTGCTCCCGATCAGAGCTGATCACGGTATTGTCATAAACTTGCCCAATTCATTTGCCCGAAGTTATCAAGCCTCATACAAATCTCTATCACAGTGCTCCTTTACTGGCTAAACTCCCACAATGCTCTCTGCTTGCAAACAAGGCAATGCACACCTCCTCTGGTCACCACAGTAATAAACAGTAAGAGGCTCCACCTGCTGAAACTATCAGATACTACAGCTGATCTACACAACTTGAAGTGTGTATTATCTAGGAACATGGTGTTATGTATCAGCAGATACTAACTATTGAATGCCTCAGATTAGATCTGAGCAAAAAACAACAACAAGACAAAACCTGTGATCGGTACATCCCTAATCAAAACCTTGGTTGCAAATATAGAATAATACAAAACTGTGTTGAAATGTCTTTGTTTTTCAGATTTTGCATTTGTTTATTAGAAAGAGAATGATTCAACATTGTTTAATGTTGATAGGCTGTTACTTGTGATGTTTCACCAATCAGATAATGCTGCAGGCAGGATATTGTTTATGAGCACAGAGTGACTACAGACAGAGAGGCAGCTGCATCAGAGCCAGTGTGCTGAATATTTAATCTGATAATGAGTCGGGCCAACGATCAACGACCTCGACTAGATACTGTCAAAGAAATGAACTGTTTTCAAGCAGCAATCTGACACTCTTGCAGTACAGTTTTTTTCAGT